TTCCCAAAAATTCAAATTTAGTTTGGTAAAACATGCTCCCCAATCAGAAAGTGATATTTGGGAGATAGAATGTTTCTGATAAAGATATTCAATCTGTTAGTTCTCTGGAACACGTCACAGTTTGCTGTCACACAGCAGCCCTTGCTGGAGCTGCAGCCCAAAAGTCTCTGGGGCTTTACAGAGATGGGAGCTGGGGATATGTGTGTGATAATTGTGCCATGTCAATCCTCATTTTAAAGACTGTACATACACCTTTTTAAAAGAAAAACAAACTACTCCACCAGCCTAGAGAGAAACATAAATCATGTATTTTTGTCACCTCAAAAGACCACTGGAAGATGAGCTTTAATATTTCAAATGCGACAAGCGATCCATACACATGAATCACAATTTGAGTTCCATTACAGCTGAGCTGATAGATACCACTGTGTGCTTTGTGGATTTTATTCTAACAATATTAAGTAAAAACCCAAAGCTTTTTGTGATGAATACCTAACCTTTTGCAAGAATTTGTAGGATTGTGGTCCAGARCAACAGATTTAGTGTTGCCCTACGGGCTTTAATAACAAAATTCTGTTGCCAGTTTTGACCTCTCAATATTATTCTCTCTGAAGAAAATGTATGTATTAGYAGAAGGGTAATAATGCAAAGGTAAAAGTAAATCTGAAATGCTGAAAGGGTTTATGGAAAATGCAACCCTTAAAGATTGCAATGACAGTTAAATAAATGAACAAAGCTTGAAGAGACTGATTTTTTTTTATTTCTCCTTCCTTTGTTAGGCCCAGGCTTTTTCTTCCTGGGTTCTGGAACTTCTGCAGCAGCAACCCAGTGCCAGTTTTTCTCARTTCTTCTATTTATAGTCAAGTCATCACTTGAAGTCCTTAGTCTCCTTTTGAGATATTCTCCCATGGCAGTATTTTCATATAGGCTGTGAATTTTCTTTTTATCTCTGGGTATTCTCATATTTTTTGTTACAGTGATCTAGGCCTTTCTTGCAAYGAATCAAAGTTCAGATTCCTTCACCTTTGAGACTTTTAATCCTCTCTCTTCCCCTTGGGGGAAGAAAGAGAAGCACAGTGAGAGAGCTGGAGATGAAGGGTAGTGCATAAGGTTAATTTTCAGGTGAATTGGTTGCTGTTTTGACATTCTCGCTTTCTTTGCAGACATCTTTTCATTCCTTTTCCTTTTATGCTGAAAAATTATTAGATATGCAAGAACAAAACTCCTCAAAGCTATGCTCCAGAAGTCTATTAAAAATAGTCTGCAAGCAGATCAGTGTGAACACCCGTCAACACCTGAGTGTTTCCCAAGTGGCTCGAGCACTCCGTGGTGTGATAACAAGACGTGTGGGAGGATTTTTCCTGGCTTTTATCTTTCATATACTGATGCTYCTGGCTTTTTAAAATTCACTTCGTYAAGTGGTGCTGTGACTGAACCAAGAGAAATGCAGCAATGAGGTAGTTTCAGGTGTTTTTAGTGGTTCACAAAGTGTTCTGCTCGCGGGCCATCATTTCTAATCATCCCAAGCTGGCAGCACTTGGCAATTTCTGCCAACTGACAGCTGTTTGCTGACCAGCACGAGGAGATTTAGCTGGTGGCTCCTGCAGGACAGAGGTGTGTGATGTGGGAAGTGTGAGTGTGGCTGGCATGTGTTCCATTTTCAAAGCTTGGAAAATGGGCTGACGCTCAACCACTGCTGTCAGAGTCTGGGCAGGTTAAACTAGAAATCTGAATTTGGGTAACCAGGAGCTGGGGTGAGCAGCTCATGCTACTCCACAAGCCCAGGACTCAATTGGTACCTTCCCAGAGTGTGGGCAATCAATAACAGAAAGGAACAGAGGGATAAAACATCTCTGATTCATCTCTCTTTGTGTCGGATGTGTGCAACGCTAGAATTAATATTTTGAAACCATGAATTACTTCATGTAAAATCTGTGCCACTAAGCAGAAAATCTATCCTGCTGAGAAAAAAATAAGGAAAATTCTTTGGTATAATGTCTGGTTTTGTGGGGAAGGGAGGGGGAAGATTTTGCAGTTTACAATATCTCAGAGCTTTGAGATACTTAGGCAAGTAAATGATAGGTTTGAGTGTCTGCTGTGAAAACAGTTTTGGATTTTGGATTTGCAGCAGCAATAGAGATTGCTTAAGCAGGGACATGGGGTCAATTTTTTGCTGCTCCTTAATCTTTTTTTTTTCTGCTTTGACATGGTGCTATCAGTGGAAGGGGCTTAGGTGGCTGGTTCAGTCCCCTGTGTGTGGCACAGAACCTTGTCCAGTGATTCTGCAGCAGAGCTGTGAGTCAGGGACAGTTTTGGCAGTGCCAAAGCTCTTGGGTGAGTCCCAAGGGGTGGAGTACAGGCAGTGGAATCTACTCCTGTGTGCTSCTGGCAAACTCTGCTGTGCCACTCCTCACCAGCCCTGCAGCTSCTGTCATGCTGTGCACAGTCCCTGTGCCTGTAAGAGTTGGCATTTTCAGTACTGCTCACTTTGACACCGTTTTACATGTTTGAAAACTGTCAGTTTTTTTAGTTTTTAACATTGCAACCCTACCCCCCAAAATGTATGTGTTTACTTTTCCAGAATTAAAAAGGAAATAGTGTTTCACGAGGAGCGGTGGAAAGGAACACACTGCTATAATACGGGAGTTTTAACCTGACTGAATTTCCCTTGTTTTTTAGCACTACTATTCAAACAGATTGCCTTTGGAGCTGTAAATGCAATTTATTTTTTGTGATGCCACCTGATTCATTTCACCAAACCCATTTGTAACTTTCSTGGTCGTTTTCYCCCTGCAGACATCGAYGAGTGTGCAGCCAAGATGCACTACTGCCACGCCAACACGGTGTGCGTGAACCTGCCGGGGTCCTACCGCTGCGACTGCGTCGCGGGCTACGTCCGYGTCGACGACTTCTCCTGCACAGGTGAGCACCCAGCACAGCCCCAGCGATGCCACTCCGTGCCCTCTGTGCCTTACTTGCCTTCCCACTGCCCCCTAAAGCCACATCTGTTTTGTTGGAATAGAGAGAAACAAAATCTTACAAGCCTGAGTAACAGCTACAGTCTGGTGTGCGTTTGCCGGCGTGAAATTTCGGCACAAGCGGGGTGGATAAATGGGGTAGGAAGTGCCTTTCCCCTGTGTGGGTGCTTTGGGATTAATTTGGGATTAATTCTCTCTTTCGAGAGAAACAAAATCTTACAAGCTGAGTAACAGCTACAGTCTGGTATGCGTTTGCTGGCGTGAAAGTTCAGCACAAGCGGGGTGGATAAATGGGGTAGGAAGTGCCTTTCCCTTGTGTGGGTGCTTTGGGATTAATTTGGGAGGTGGGTGAAGGCCTGTGGTGTGCCCACTGAGGGCTTCTGCCAACCAAAACACAGTCCTTTCGTGTGCCACATCTGCCTTCTGTGCCAGGGCAGAGGCTGAGATCGGATCACACATGTTCTGTGTGAGAAACAGTGACTATCAGCTGTGGTCTACAACTGGTCAGTGAATTGAGATGTGAGAAATTGCCCAGGAGAAGCTTTCTGCCCAGAACTTTCTGCTCACAAATCTGCRAAAGGAAAACTGAAATTAGTATAAAGTTCTCAAATCCAGCTGTTGTAGGTGGCTTGAAAAATGTTAACACTGGGAATTAATGTCTCGAGAGCTATGACATGTTTAGAAAAGAAGGTGTGACAGCATTAGACAAAAACTGGTTATTTTTTAAATATATCCATCTGCAAAATGAGATCTGAAAATTCTTAATGGAGGATAGGTAGGGTCTCATTCCATTTAAGGGGTTTTTAAAGGGCATTCGCAGAAAAATTTTCAGAAAAATGTGGAAGCTGCTGGACTCCTCATCCCAGCTCTGCCGAGCTGGGTAACATCTTTCAATCACAATGCTCCAGAAAGTCTGATCTGGGGATTATTTTGATGGTGCACCTGTCATGCAGAGGAGGAAAATAGCCAGGGGGTTTATTGCAATGGATATAAGCCAGTCCAACATAATACCAGGTTTAGAATGGCATTGAGTGAGCTGTCCCCAAAGTGGAAAGATGGCACAGGAGTATTCAGGGTGAGAATGATTTCCAGCCTGGATTAACTGCATTGTAGTGCATGTTATCCTTAGGGAAGGTCCTAGAAATGTTGACTTTGATGATGACAGCATCTCTTTGAGCTAATATTATGTAATTTATAAAACTGTAGGGAAGTCCTGCCCAACTCATGAGAGAGAYAAATACCAAATCGCTATAAGGAAGMTGATTTTGATTTTKCCCAAAGARTCATTATTTCTGTATAATCWGKCTCTTTGCAGTTTTTCTTGAYCTTTTGCAATCTGACAGGACAGATTCAGACCTTAAATTCTGCGCTGTGTGAGGGATCAGCCTGCACAGCAATGGGGAGAGTGGTTTTGATAATCTGACTCTTGCTCTTCCATATATGCACTACTAATTTCCTGATGTGCCTTTCTTYCCAGCGAGGCACTGTCATTAGACTTGCAAAGGTTGTAGAAAGGAAGGTATTTGTGATGTACTAAAAAAGTGTGAAGTAGCAAGGTGAGTTGTTTGACAGTAATGGGGGAACATTCACTTAAAATGCGTGCACACAAAAAATCCAAAGCAGGTCTAAGAACAAATAATAGGATGGGGAAGACAGTTATTTCTTGCAGGTTTATTGTCTTGGAAAAAAACAGTTCATTTTTGACATCGTAGTTAAAAAGCAGAGAAAGTGCTTTGCATAGATCAGGAGAAACTCAATTCATTCCCTGTTTTATCTGGAAATAATTGTTTGTTATAATGCTAAATGTAGTTAAAATTAATAACTGTGCAATAGAAACACTAATCCTGTCTTTGTATTTCGCATTATGCTTATACAGACTAGGAGTAGTAACAGCAATGATTAAAAAAAAGCAATAAAAAGAAACAGGCAGCAAATACTTCCTTAATTTCCCCTTATACTGACACCAAATGTTTACCAGRCACAATGGACTGTAGCTATTACTCAGGTTTTTAAAACTTTGTTGCTCTTTATTCAAACAAAATTGATGGTAAATTTTCTTGTTGCTGAACCATGGATTTAAAGATTAATCTGAGAGCCTGAGATGGGTCGGGTGTTCTGGTTAAAATTGTGCCTGAGGGGTTCAGGATAAAGATGAAGTTTCACATGTAAGCACTTAAGGCACATTCATGTATTTTATAGACACTGTTGACCCTAAAGCAGGGTTATTCCACAGAGCAGGGGGTTTCATGTTTTGGGAAGCCTGGATCTGATTCATCAAGGGACAAGATCTCATGCAGTTGGGCAGATTCTGTCTGCTGTGCCTGTGGTGACTGATCCCCCAGCTCTGGCAGCTTTCAAAAGGTGGAAAGCACTTTCATGTGGAAGGCGTAAATCAGGAACAATTTTTAAGCTGAAAAGAACGTTTCAGTTTGATTTGAGGGGGTTTAATCTTTATAAAAAGGAATGGAGTGACTAGTGAAACACTGTGTCAGTTTGGATTGAGCAAAATGAAATTCATTTGGATGTTGCTGAATTTTAAATGTGCTGCTTCCAGTGTTTTCTTTAAAACACTACATCTTAATGAAATTAAACTAATTTGTACTGGTTTGACATTGCTGAAAGTTATTTTTCCCTGAACAATTTTTGGATAATAGTTTCCAACTGTGAAGCAGGAACTTCAGTGGTTATCAGTAAGAAGCTGCTGTGTTGGAAGATGTGCTGATTGCATAGAAAATGCACTCATAGGGACAGAGTGACTAAAACAATATTCTGGGTGAAGTCTGCAGTTATATTAAACTCTCAGCTAYGATTTAAAACCTAGTGGTGAGTATTTTAATAAATAATCAGTGTTCAGTCTCACATAAGCAAAAGACCTGAGATGTTGAGGTGTTCTGTGACAGATTATTCAGCCTGGTAATAACTCCAACCTGTGTTCCCCAAGAAAGGTACATTAATGTCTCTCTGCTTGCCTGTTCCTGGAGCTTTGTGCTCTGAATGTTAATGAAGTTGTTGAGTGAAAGGTGGTTTTRTTAAGAAAAGTTACCTTGAATAGGAGCCTGCTTTTCAGTCTCTTCCTGTGACACTGGCAGGTTGTTTATCTGCTCTCTGGTAAATCACAGCCTTGTCCATTCCCAAACTGGCAGCAAGATTTGCTGCTCCAGATGTTCTCATTTGCTGCAATCTACTGATTTAAAGCATTTGATGGATTTCCACGGGTTTTTACCCTGGTTGCTCATGGAAAAAGAAGTTCTCTTGGGTTGCTTTCTTCTAACACAGCAGTTTGKGAGYTTGCTTCAGGAGTGCATTATTTCGKTTTATGCTTTTGATTATAAATTACATCATAAAAATATAACAGTTTTATTTTTGATGGGCTKCATCTGTTCTCTGGTATGATTTTGAAGATTCACATGTATGTTTTCCTGTAGTTTGAGACTGGAATATGCAGTTTCTATATGTCACTGCCATTCAATCGAGGATGCAAATGCCTTTTCATCTTGAAGCTTTAAGTTACCTGTAATGACCACGTGTATCATGCTAATACAAAGAGAAAACAGTGTGGGTAGGTTTCATCTCTTCATAGTGTTGGCATTTTCTACAAAGACAATCACCATGGTCASGACAAAGATTTCTGGCCCGTGCCACACCCGTGGCAACCATTTAAAACACAGTCACTGATTTTGCAATGTTCTCCTTGGGGCTGCGTGGAACACTGAAAGCTTCCTCAAATCCTGCAGAGGTGTTAAAAAAAAATGTTCTTTTTGTGTAGTCAACACTGGGCTTGAATGCTGTATTTTGTTTGGTTTGGGGTTTTTTTTGGCTTTTTTTGGCTTTTTTTTTTTAAATTTCCTACAGATATTCACTCATGTAATAAAGTTTGAAGACCTTGCAAAAAGCAAGCCATTATCTACCACAGAAACAGGAAGTATTTTCAAAACATGTAGTTCAGTATTCTAATCAGTGAAAAAGTTCATGTTACACAGAAATATGTTATTAGAAGTYATAGAATAGAAAGATATTATTTAGAAGAAGTTTAGAATATAAATCTTAGTCTTGAGTTTATATTCCAAATTGATTTACAGTATGGGTAGTGAAGAGGAAGTAAGAAAATCTGATGATTTTTCCAGGTTATCCCGTAAACCCCTTCRCTTCCATCCTGTGTGGTTTCTGGAGAAGCATTCAGTTTTGAATGTGATGCACTTTGCAGAGCAAGCCCTTCTGCAGCCTAAAGCACAGAATAACATAAGAGTTCCAAGAAATCTGATTTTCAAGGGGAGAAAGTCAGAAACCCCTTCTCCTGCTCTTCCCTTCTTCCCTTCCCCTGTTGATGAAAGGCAGCTCAGCTGTAGAAATATCCTGCTCTGGTGAGAACAAATGTTCAAATTGTTTGCTGTTGCTAAAATTGATGCCTTTGTGTTTTTGTTGCTGGGGTTTACCTGTCATGTTCGAGGTGCTGTGGCTGACCCCATAATAATACTAATAATGCCAGTTTCCCCCTTTCAGTGAGATGGCAATCCCAAAGGACGCGTTCCTGGCCTCACATCCCAAATCGCYGCGTGTTTGTAAAACACCTGGACAGAGCTTTTAGGCAGAAAATTGATATTAGGGCCTCTCTTTGAAAAAGGTAGTGCTGTTTCTGTAATCTGATCCACTGACCTTCCTTTCCACTCTTTCTTCTTGGTGAACTGAATTAGYGTTTGCAGAATCACAGAATGGTTTGGGTTCTAAAGGACATTAAAGAACATCCAGTTCCACCTTCCCCTGCCATGGGCAGGGACAGTTCCATTATCCCAGGCTGCCAGAGCTCCATCCAACCTGGCCCTGGACACTCCCAGGGATCCAGGGGCAGCCACAGCTTCTCTGGGCATCTGTGCCAGGGCCTCCCCACCCTCACAGGGAAGAGTTTCCTCCTAATCTTGAATCTAAACCTTCCCTCTTTCAGATTTT